GTTGTAGTAGCCCTGGAGTGGCTACATTCTCATGCTTGTTTTGCTGACAGATTGAGCATGCTCGTACAAATTGTCGGATGTGTTTCTGCTGCCCCTTCCAGTAGAACAAACTGCCCACCCTTTTTACAGTAGCTGTGCTTCATGAGTGACCACCCACAGCTGAGTTGTGATATAAAAAGATTAACCTTCTGTGTAAGTCCACATCGCGTCCCACCACAATTTTTCCCTTCCTCTGCAAATGGCCATTAACCCATGAGTAGTGTGAATGTGATGTTGGAGAGGCTTGCAGGTTTTGAATGACAGTCTGCAAATGTGGATCTTTCTGCCAAGATTGTGCAATTTCCTCCATAAGCTTGGTAGAGACTGAAGAGTCAATCAAGGAACAGAGTAATTGGCTTGAAGTTCGTGAGAGTGCATCAGCTGCCACATTGTCTTTCCCTTTTCTGTATTCTATCTCATAGTCATACCCCATTAATTTAATTAACCATTGGTGCTGCATAGGAGTAACTATCTTTTGATCTAGGAGATATTTAAGACTTACATGATCCGTGCGAATCTTAAAATGCCGCCCCCAGAGGTAATGCTTCCATTTGTTGACTGCATGCAGTATAGCCAACATTTCCTTTTCATAAATAGACATGGCTTGCTGTTTAGGGCCTAGAGACTTGCTAATGTAGGCAATAGGATGCCCTTCTTGCATAAGTACTGCACCTACACCCACCATTGATGCGTCGGTCTCTACCACAAACAGTTTATCTAGAGCTGGCAAGGATAATACTGGAGGAGTGGTCATCAGCTCCTTGAGTAAGGTGAATGCAGTAGTTGCTTCTAGGTTCCAGCCAAAAGCATCCTTTTTTAGGAGTTGTGTCAAGGGTTTGCAAATGGATCCGTATCCCTTGACAAATCTTCTATAGTAGCCAGTAAGCCTCAAAAACCCTCTGTGTTGTCGTAAGTTCTTAGGCAATGGCCACTCAATTATAGCTTTGATTTTGTTAGGGTCGGTAGCAACTCCATATTTGGATATAATATGGCCCAAGTATTCAACTTGTTCGCTGCCAAAGCTACACTTACTTTCCTTTGCCACTAGCTGATGTATCCTCAAGAGGTCGAAAATAGTCTGTAAATGTTCATAGTGAGCTGCAGATGTCTTGCTGTAGATTAATATGTCGTCAAAAAATACCAAGATGAACTTCCTAAGGTGTGCTTGGAAAACCTCATTCATCAAGCTCTGAAATGTAGCTGGAGCGTTGGTTAACCCAAACGGCATAACTAAGAACTCGTAGTGGCCATTGTGTGTCCTGAAAGCTGTTTTGAATTCCTCTCCCGAACCCATCCTAATTTGGTGATAACCAGATCGAAGGTCAATCTTCAAAAATATTGTTGCTCCCACCAGTTCCTCCAGTAGCTCTTCCACCACTGGAATGGGGTATTTATCCTTGATAGTCAATTTATTCAGTGCTCTATAATCCACACAGAGTCGCCATGTGGAATCCTTCTTCTTAACCAACACTACTGGGAAGCAAAAGGGCTATTGCTAGGCCTTATAATTCCAGTTCTCAGCATTTCCTCCACCATTTTTTCGAGCACATCCTTCTGCAGCCCGAAGTACCTATATGGTCTCAAGTTAACGGGTTGACTCCCTTCCTTCAAGGGTATAACATGATCATGCCCCCTAACAGAGGGTAGTCCTTCAGGCTCCTGAAAGAGGTCACTGTAATTCTCCAGCAATGTAGTTAACATGGTATCCTGGTGGTGATGTTGCTTTACTGTCAAGGAGCTAAGAGTGAGATCATCATCCTCCAAGACTTGTAAACTACATAAGTGAAGTTCTGCCACTTGCTCTAAATTGTTTAATAACCCCTGTAGTTGTGCAAGCTCAATAGCTTGGAATTTGATTGGACTCTCTCCCTTCAGCAACACCCTCTGGCCTTAACAATCAAAGGACATCCAAAGATATTTGTAGTTGCACAGAATGTCCCCTAGCATTGACAGCCATTGAACACCTAACACCATGTCATAATTACTCAAGTCCATGATGAACACATCTGCTTCAAAGCACACTCCTTGTATCTTCCATTTCAGGCCCTTACACACTGAATTACATGACATCTTTCCTCTATTGGCAGCTTGTATAGTTATAGGAGTGATGGTGGTTAAGTTGTTCTGTAGTTTTTGGGCTAATGAAGAGTTTAAAAAATTATGAGTGCTTCCCGAATCGACCAAAATATGGAGAACCTGCTTCCCTACCTTCCCTGTGACTTTCATGGTGTGGAACCTGACCGTCCCTTCTAAAGCATTTAATGAAATTTGGGGCATTAGTTCTCCAGTTGGACACCCCTCCTCACACTGCTCCTCTCCTCTAATGTCTTCCTCCTTGTCTATAATACTTAGTGAATACAACCTCTTGTTCCTGCACCTATGACCTCGGACAAATTTGTCATCACACCAAAAACACAACCCTTTTAATCTACGTTCTTCAAACTCTTGATTTTTTATAGATTTGGTGGGTTTACTGGCAGTTTTGTTGAAAGAATTTTGAGCACTGTTATTTTGCCAATATGTAGGATTAGCCTTGGGTAAGTTGGCTGATGTAAGATTTGTAGGAGTTAAGTTTGGTGCTTGCATGGTTTTTTATGGTAGGTTGTGGTTGGTGGTGGAGGCTGAGTGTTTTGGTGTAAATTCCGCATGTAATCTGTGAGCTAAGGTATTAGCATGCAATCTTGCGAGGTTGTAAGCTTGCCTCAGGTCTTTGGGTTCGAACATTTTGACAGTGTTTTTAATCTCCAATTCTAGACCTCCTAAGAATATAACTAGAGTTTGTTTCTCCCCTATACCTGCCTTATTCCATAGAATGTCAAAATCATGGATATAGTTTTCCAGTGTCCCTACTTGTTTCAGGTCAATCAGGTCTTCCATAGGGTCTTTCTGCCCTCCAAATCTATAACACAAAGCTTCTACATACTCATCCCAACTTACTCTCCGGTTATTTAAGTTTCTCATAAAATTTTGATGCCAATATAGAGCTATGCCATCTAAATAATAAGAAGCAAGTTTTAGTTTCTCAGAATCCTCAATATCCTCAATCTCAAAGTACTGATTGCATTTATACAACCATCTATGAACATCATCCCCGCTGAATACTGGAAAGAGGTGTTTTGGCCTGTGTACCTTATAAGCAGCCGGTCTTCCCTCATTAGAATAGCTAGGTCTGCCTGTAGATTCATTCTGATAAGTCGCCTGCTGATCCCTACCTTGACTTGATTCCCCTGCAGTAAATGGAATCCTTTGCATGACAAACTCCAGCTGTTGCGCTAGACCACTAAGCAAATTCTTTATGTCTGCGATTTGAGTTCCATGACAGTCTGTGGTGGTGTCCAGCTTCTGACCTTGTTCTTTCATGAGAGTAACGAGTAATTCATACTTGTGATTGGTTTCTCTTTTTGTCAGTTCAACAAACTCCTCAAGTTTTTTTATCTCTGCGGTTCGTGTGTCAGGCGCCATAGCCTCAACCAAGGAAGGTTAACTCTGATACCAGATGTTATGGGTGGAATGGGAAATAGCTTCCCCTGTTACTAATCTCAGTCTAAATTTGGTTAATTGATGAAGATTGCTATTCAGATATCAGTTGGATAGATGAAGAAGCATATAAAAACTGTATAGAAACAAGAAATGATTCACCCGAATCTCTCTTCATGCGTTTCTTGCTTTACAATTTTTCATCGTGCCTTTTAGTATGTTACAACCAAATATATACACACCAATTGGTTTGTTCCGAAACTGAAGGATAGCATTCCTTATTACACGTGTCTCCTAAAACATTGCAAAATAAAAATAAAACGGTGTATTTAGCTGTTTGATGAGTTCCCGCTCTGACCCCTGATTCAAATCTCCACTGTCTCTGTTATTGCTTGTTCCTCTTCTTCATTCCTTGTAGCTTTATTGCTTGCAGCATGTGACAATATATTAATTTAATGTTTTTCAGAAACACGTAGTTAGTTGACGTGAGTCTGTCCTATCCCATTCCCAACCCAACCAATGTCTGCCTACTGCCTGCCCTCCGTGTTGCCCTCTACGAATACTAGTTTCTTTGTTTTAATTAATACTCCTAATAATGAAATGATAATAAATTTTTTTTTACATACTTTTTTTAAATAAAGTTTAAGAAAGAAAATTTAAAAAAATAATTTTTTAATATTTAATAGTTTAATGAAAAATATATTAAAAAATATTTTCCAGTATTTAGTTATATCATAAAAAATAAACTGAAAAATAACTTATTAATATTTTATTTTTTTCAAGTTTATTAAAATAATAAAAAATAAAATTTATAAATTAAAAATTTGAATGAGAATGAAATTGAAAAAAATATAATTTTATAAATTATCTCAAATAAAATAAATAATAATCAAAATAATAGATATCAAATCTAAAAAAAAAATAAAAAAAAATAAAGAAATTAAAATAATAATATTAACATTTCATAGATTATTTCAAATAAAATAAATAACAATAAAAAAATAAGGATCAAATTTTATAAATAAATAATTAAAAAAAAAGATAATAAGAAAAAAAGAAGTAACAATTATAAAAATAAAGATCAAAATTAATATAAAAATTAAATTTTAAAAGATAAAATTGAATAATAAATATTCAAAATAATATATATATATATATATATATATATTAAAAATTTAATAATTAAATAATATGACATTTCTTTCGTAACTTTTAGAAAGTATTTTTCTTCTAAATTTTTCACAAAAATACTTTTTTAGAAATCAAGTTAAATTTTTTTAACTAAAAAATATTTTTCATTAATCAACTTTTTTAATGATAAATAATCATAGAAAAATTTAAAAATTAATTTTTTAAAAACTAAATTTCAGGAATAAAAAAGAGAGGCAAAGTATTAGTTTTCCAATGGATTGAGATAATGAAGATTTATTCTCAAGGGAAAAAAAAACTGATGAAATTAATTATTCAGTAGAGAAGTAACGAAGTTAAATAAGAATTTCTTTATGAAATAATAAATATGCGTGGCCTTTCTCTCTCGCTTATAAATTGTTACCCGTTAGTTAACTGTTGCAAACTTAAGATTTTCACATAAAAGGTATTTTAAGCCCCAATACATCTTTAAAATAATTTATTACTACAGCAGGCAGTTCATCCTTCGGGAACTTGCTTTAACTGACTCGACAGAACCGAACCAAAAACAGGTACCGTAATTGCGCCAGCGTTCGACATTCATTCCCGTAATATGTTAATCTCTTCACAGAATGGTCTGTCATGTTATAAAATGTATTGTGGTGGAGCTTCTGTTGTTAATTATTTTGATTACAACAGTTCCTTCGTGTAGCTTCCCTTCCTAACTCAAAGTCTCTCAAAGATAATGAACCCGCCAGAACCAGCTGCAGTTAAGCTTCTTCTTTGCTGACCGCCCGAGTTCCACTCTTAGAGAGTAGTAGGTCTTTCATTTCTCTGTAACTCCTCAGCTCTTCTAGCGCATCTCCTGTCTTTCTTGGCATAAAAAACCCAGAAGCTGTGCCCATCCCTTCCTCTACATCAGTCCTCGTGGATTGGGATGAGTAACAACTTGGATCTTGTTGCAGGGGAGGCGCTGTCCGCAGCATCTGAACAAGGATACCAACAGCAGCATCTTGAGATTTTTTCCCTACTGCTGCAGTGTGGGAACTGGACTCAAAAGAAAATGCAAAACGAATCATGGTGATGAAAAGAAAGAAACAAGAAAAATAACCCAGCAGCAAAAGCATTGAACGTCAAAATCTCAGGGTTGAAAAGAAAAGCATCGTAAACAGGTGAACTTGAGCACAATGAACAAATGCACAAACATAATGATGAATCATGGAACGTCAAAATACCAGGATTGAAAATAAAAGCATCATTGTGTTTTCTCTCAACTTCATCAGTGGGAGATACCATGGAACAGGTTGTGCCAAACTGCAAGCAAGTTATGCTATCTCTCTTCAGACATAAAATCTTTCTTGTTCATTTGAGAGTATCCTTGCATTTAAACTTCGCTTTTCCTACTACATGTTTTCTCCTTAGGTCTCCCTAGAGAAATTTATTAATTTTCCATACTACCATTAGCTTAGATAACGTAATATCAAACAAAGCATTCCACATCACCCCCTGGACTTAAAACAAAGAAACAACAATAGAGATGGAATCGATAACAAAACTAATCGAAAAAAACTGGAACAAACTGAACTATCTATCTGTCAGGAGAAGTATTTCATGCAACCCAGAGACCAATCACAAGGTTTTACCCAATAGATCCAAACTAAACATGCAACCAACATAGAAGAGATGTTCATACTGAAAATATCCACATGAGAATAAAATATTGGAATAAAAACTGACCATACAGATTCATAACCACTTCATATATGGTGAGGTAAACACTAATTATGCCTGCCATTTTATCGTAGCTGAAAATTTGAGGTAAATATAGGTACCTGGCATGGGAATCTGATGTGTCAACATCATCAACGTCAAAAGGACATGAGAAATCGTCATCCTCTAAATCATCTTGGAAAGATAATCTACTTGAACTTCTAGAAAAACCAATGCGTGGAGAACCACTAGAAGATAACAATCCTGAGAAGCGCCCTGAATCATCTTTGCTATCTTTGAGCAGCTACAGAACAAATAAAATTAGCCCCATTAGTCAGAACATGATTAGATAGATGGAGTTTGCATGCAGGAATGAAAACCGTTAAAAACAGGTCGATGGGAGCAAAGACTACCTTCTGACCAGAATAATGATTTACATTGCCAGAGTTTAACTCGGCAAACCTTATAGCTTCTGATTTCTTGAATGATCGAATCCCAGAAGGAGACTCCTGTGATGATGAATCGTGCTTTGTGCTTTTGGGAGATAAAGGTGGAAGAGAATGCCTACTTGAATCAGAAAAGTTAGGAGAAAGGCATCTAGAACTTCTGCCTGATATAGGAAGTGGAATGGTTACGGGTGCAGTTTCTGAAGTAACGCAACCTAGCACAGGACTACCATCGTAGAGGTGTGTTGGGGTAGAAGGGAACATTAATGGTGAGAATGGAGGGGACATCTGGTACTCATCATAACAAGTAGCCTTTTGAGGAGTTGGTGGTCGATAGTTTTGGGCTCTTTGACCATAAATATCAGTAGGAGAAGATGGAAAATCACACGTCATGCGAGATGTGCGATAAGGTGGTGGAGATCCACCAAGTGGTTGGTTCATCATATGAGCTGCTCTATGGTAACCGCTTGTCCAGCTATGAGGGCGTTGAAAAGGAGAAGAAACAGGTGGTTGCATTCCTCTCAGGGGAAAGGATGTAGCACCAACTCCCTTCTCTGAAGAGGGGAAAGACCTAAGAGGATCAGTGGTAGGGCTACCAACATAGTCCGTTATAATCTTTGGTGGCATAGTTGTGACAGGCACAAGCTTGAAATCAGATAGTGTTGAACGATAGGTCACAGATACACAAAGGCTGCCAGGCAGGGCCTCAACAGGGACAAAACTGAGCTCCTTCATTACTTCCTCATCTGCACTGGAAAAGGGTTCGCAAAATGAAGAAACTTTGTAAATGATATCGAAATTGTAAGTTTGCTTGGATGAGCTTAGCTGACGAAAGATCCGGTATGCTGGGAGAAGCCTCATGTGGGAGTAAAGGGAGCGTAAGAGTATGATTGACTTCTTATATGTCTTCTTGTAAGAGGCAGAACTTTCAGCGGTTTGGGGAGGCATAACCCGCGGGGACTCATAGTGAACAACCCACCTCTCTAAAACTGTCTCGACAGATGTCCCGGGGTCAATATACAAATTGTGCATGGATGAAGATGGAGGAGACGGTTGGTGAACAAGTATTACATCAATAACCATGGGATCCATGAGATTTCTGTGCCAAAAACTCAAGTTATCTAGAGCAGCAGGGCGGTCTCCAAGAGCTAAATTGAACCATCTGTCACTCCTTTTAACATGAGAAATGGAACAAAAGTCCCGAGGGTGATTATGGGGATGAAGAGAGGGAATCCTGGAGTCCAAAATGATGTGCAAGCTCTTCAATAGAAAATGGGAAATGATTCGTTCTAGTTTTCCAGAATCATGGTGAGAATGACCATGCATATCCGCGGTACTTGAAGGAAAATCCCGATGACAATCAATCAATCAATAAGATAAAACCGCGATTATCTGCTCTGCTCTGCTCTGAGGTTAGGGATAAACAAGAAGATTAATTTTGATTTAAGGGGAAAAATGGAAAGAAAGGAAATATGGAAAAGGAGGAGTAAGAGGAAATGAAGCTAAGAATGGATTGGGCAGCTCTGCTCTTGAGAAGCCAGTTGACCAAATGAATAAAGCTTTTATGTTATATTATGCAAGCATACAACAGATTGTAGAAGAATGAAAAAAAAAAAAAAAAAACGACGATGGATTAGTGAATAGTAAGAAGCATAATAAAGCAATCGAAGAGCGACGGATCAGATCAGATGAGGCCGGGAGTGATAGCTCAATAGAGAGATAAATGTTTATCCAAAGTGCAGCAATAATTATCAAGAACAAATTCAATCTGATTCAAGATTTTATGATATTAAAAGAAAACAAGAAAATCTTGATCTAATAACGCAAGGCAAGCAAAGCGATCTTGATGTAAATAAATAAAATGTTTATATAAAAAATGTGGGGGGGGGGGGGCAGGAAAAACTCACCAGCAAGAAAAAAAAAACACAGAAAGAAGAGGCGTGGGGGAGAAGGGAAGGGAATGATTAGTAATTAATTTTTTGCCGGCAGAGAGAAAGAGAGAAGTGAAACAATCCAACACACAACAAATAAATTATGCGAGATGGTTTGCTGGCTGGCGTAGGAAGAGGAGGTAAAGCACGCACGCACGCACGCGGAGAGAGAGCAGGGAGAAACAGAATTCCTCTCAGCAGCAACTGGAGGAGGAGGTAAAATGGTTAAAGGAAAAAGGTTCAGAGAAAAGTTAAGCGAAGCAGCGGTGGAAGTGGAAGGGGTTTAAAAGGAAAGATGAGTTCATAGTCTACACTACTACCTAGAACTTGTCACGATGATCAAACAGATCCAGTGATGGAACACTTATTCACCCATCCATCCTACAATGGAAGGGGTTTCTTGCTCTGGTTTGCATTTGGGTTGGGCCTCCCGGGGCTGGAAATATTCGTAGCCACGAGGATTGCAATCTCATTGTCAGATAACTAAATGGGGCCTCAGCCTCACGTGTAGATGCAGGAGGGTGTCTAAAAAAACTAAAAGAAATTGAAATTGAACGTTTTGAGACTATTTTTGTAATTTTTTAAGATAAATTTCATAGTAACAAAGATTATTAAATAGTCATTTAATTTGTATTGAATATACTCATTTGATAATATTTTTTTTGTAAGATATTTTCTTTTTTCATTAATCTTTCTATCTCATTTTCTTTATATTTCTTAAAATTAAAATTAATCGAAAAAGACATGAAATAGAAAGAAAGAGAGAGAGTTATAAATAGATTTTAAAACCATGAGGACTAATATGAGAAAAAATATAAAGATTAAATATATAACCTCGAGAACCAATTAATTATTCTTACTATACTGTGAGGACTAATTTATAATTAACTTGAAACAAAAACTTGTTAAAATAAATATAAAAGTAGGTGTATAAATACATAATAGCAAAGCACATACGTAAGCTAAGACAAACGCGCGGAGACGAAATGGCAAGTGCTAGTCTTTCGGAGATCGGGAGAGAAGATACATTGAACCTGGACACAAATAAGCGAGGCTATAAGAGAACCACATCAGCAGACCGGTTGCCAACCATAAACGAAGCGAGATAAAATTAGAGTGGCTGTTCTTCTCGTAGCCAGCCAAGGAAGAAGAGAGAGTAGTAGTAGTAGTAATGGGGTTGGCCAAGGATAGAGACGATCAGGAGATGATGCTAAAGAAGAGAAATGCGGAGCTGGAGAAAGCCCTCGAAGAAAGCAAACGTAGGGAGGAACAGATGATTTCAGAGCTACAAAGGACATGGGAGAGGCTCAGAGTGGCAGAGGAGGCTGAGGAGAGGCTCTGCTCCCAGCTGGGTGAGCTGGAGGCCGAGGCTGTCAATCAAGCCCGTGCCTACCATTCCCGCGTTCTCTCTCTCATGAACGAGCTCTCCCAAGCCCACAATCTTCTCCATCTAACCAATTAATACCATCATCATCGTCAACATCCCCTTTTCTTTTCTTTTCTTTTCTTTCCTGGTCTTTTTGGCTCCTCAACAAGCATCTGGGAGCGGGTAGATATGTTCCTTGCCTGTACCTTTGTATGTTGATTAGGTCTCTCTGTAGATGATTGAAGACTCCCTCCCTTTCCCAATTCCAGGAGAGGCAGTAATTTTGTACTTTGTTTTCTCTTTTTCCTTTTTCCTTTAGTGAATGGAATTTGAGTATTCGCCCTGCCTTGATTAGTTTCTTCTTTTTCTAGTTTTATGTCAGTAGTGTTTCCCCCTGTATCGTCGTAAACTTCTCTGGAAAAAATCATTGTATGAGATGTACCGAAGCATGCATGGCCAATGGTAACATGTTAGACAGGGGTTCTGACAGCAACTCACCTTTTTAGATTGGTTGCAGTCTTGCAGAGGGAGTAACCAACCCTCTAATGGCAGCTGCAGAACAGTTTAATTAACTGTTTTTACCTGGGCAGCCAGAGTTTGTCTCCGCACGTATTCGTTCATGAAAAACTTATTGATAACAGACTAACAAAGCCAGCTCAGTTGATCAATTTGTATATTGAATTGGTTTAAATTAATTCATTAAATTTATAATCCGAGTAATGAAAATGACCTTTAGCAACTTATCTTCTTTTTTCCCCTCTCTTTTTCTTCCTGATTAGGCCTTAATTGATATTCAGTTGCTCGGTTGGATGAAATCTAAGATTAAGTTAAAGAACCGTAATAAAAACAGAGGGAATTTAAAAAAAAAAAATGCCATATATAGAAGATGTGTAAACCCCCGGTTAAAAAGAAAACACGCGCAAAAAATTGGTAATGTTGTCGTGGCACAAGAATAAGCTGTAAATAACTAAAAAAAGAAAATAAATGTAGTAAATTGTCTCAAGATAATAAATGATTGGGTGCATCACTGTAAATAACCTAAAAAAGAAAATAAATATAGTAAATTCTCTTCATGAAGATACTAAAATGATTGGGTGCGTTATGCAATAAAATGAAGAGATTTTTATTTTTGGGTGAAAAATTATAAATTAATTAGTTTTATATTAAAAAGCTCTTTTTAATAACTTTTGATTGACTAGCCAGAAAAATCTAAAAATTTATGTGGAAACTTCAAATATATTTTATTAGTTTTGATTAAAATTTTAGAGTTTTTGAAAGAAATTGAGAATTATTTTAGAAAAATCACAATGTCACCAGTTTTGCGTTATTATGCATAACTTTTAATATAATTGATAAATTGAGTTGAAATTTTGTCTGGAACATTCTAATATATTATTTTTCCATGGGGTAAAGTTTCAAAAATATTTAAGTATCATGTTTGGTGATTTTTAAAATTTGCACGAAAAAATATTGGTAACCTAGTAAAAAAAATATATACCAGAAACACATGGTGATATAATTAAAAGAAAGATGGTATAAATTAGTTGAAAAGTCAGCCTTCAAAGGGCTATTTCTAGCTGACCAAAAGAAAAAAGAAAAGAAGAAAAGAAAATGACTTATGGGGACTAGACAAATTTAAATCTAAAAAGCAAGGGTTTAAATACAAATCATAAAAATTTTACTAAATAAACCCCATTTTGCTTGGGGTGTCCAGCAGGTTACAAGGAGAGAAGGGGGAGTTAGGATTTTTTTATATTTTCTCTACAATTCTCTCATTAATTCTTGAAAATAATGCATCATTATAGAGAGTTAAGATAATTAAAAAGTTTTATAGTGAGCTACACTAAATAATTAAGAAGATTTTAAAGCTTGTAGAGGAAGAATAAAGTGTGAAGAAAAGAAGAAAAAGAAGAGAGATAAAGGGTGGTTTCACCTTAAGAAGAGTTGTCTACGAAAAGATAACATTAGGGTCATGCATTCCATGACCAGACTGCAAGTAGGTGTCTGACACGTAATTTATTTAGAAAATTTTATGAATGTTAAGATATTATAATTTTTCTTATAATACCATTGTAAATAGGAACATTGATGTGATATTATTATTAAGAAAATTGAAAAGTTCTAGTTGCCCAGTGATGAATTGGTGGTGGTAGAACTAATTGAAAGATTATAATGATTAATACGAACAATTTCATATATTTTCAGAAAAAAAAATGTAGTGCATTATGCTTTTAAAGTTGATAATAAAGTAATTTTATTGTATTATTATGTATATTGTGATTATGCTAATTGCTGACAAATTTATATATTAAATCAATGCCCGAGAAATTGAGCAAATGAATTAGTGACATAGTAAAAGGGTTAATGCACGGGGAAATGGGTGGATAAATTAATGAGCCTGGGAAGGGATCAGTGCCCAAAGAAAATGAACGGATGAATTAGTGACTTGGTAAAGGGGTTAGTGCCTGAGAAATTAGGCTGATGAATTAGTGGTTCGATAAAAGGTGTCGATGCCCGTAGATTGGAAAACTGAATTAATGGCCCGATAAATAGGTTGGTGCTCGGTAATTGGGTAAATAAACAAGAGACCCCATGATGGGGTCGTTGCCCTAAAATTAGATGAATAAATAAGAGATTTGGTGATGGGGTCCATGCCCGGTAATTGGACGGATAAATTAATGACCCAGTAACAAGGTTAATGTTGGATGATAGATGGTTGGATTTTTAGAAGGTTAGAAGTAATGGACCGGATCTAAGGTCAATGCCGAGTTTGGGTGAATGCGATAGATATCTAGTAAATGTGCATAATAGGAAGAACTAGTTGTCCGGATGTTTAGGACTAGTGTCCTGGTTAAAGGCTTGCTAATATAAGCAATTATTAAGTGGATAATTAGTATACACAATATAAGGTTAACATGAAATCTTAAAAAAATTGAAAAAAAAATATCAGAAAAGGAAAATATGGATTGTGATTGAATATATGAAAATAATTGGGGTGTCATGATAATTCATATTTTTGGATTATTGCAGCATTATACCTCGTTCTGGGCAATAAGCATTACTACCTGGTAAGGGTCGAATGCTTGGTGAGGAAGAATGAGAGTGGTTGTTTGATTAAGAAATTATTGCTTGGCTTGGATTGAGAAAAAAAATATATTCATAAACAGTTGGGACGGGCCAAATAGAATTGTTAGGGTAATCCCAAACGAGGAGTTATTACTTGGTATTGATCAGTTAGTGCTAGTACATGACACTATTTACCGGAGTGATATTGTTGATTAGTGTCCAAGAATTATTAAAGACATTAATAGAAAGGCTCTAGGGATCAAGGCTTTAAACACAAATTCTAATTAAAGGTTTAGATTGAAAGGTTATTGATTTAGTCTATAATGTTGTTCTAAGGCATTAGTGACTCGGATAAGGAGATAAGAATCGTAATTGATGGAACCGAAGGGGAACCTAGTTCCTTTCATAGGAACTAGTGTTATTCAGTGTTAAAAATGAAATTATTAGAAAGAAAGATGTGATGTGATAATATGAAGTATCAGTAATATGGAGTACTCTCATTAGATATGACGAATTGGAAAACAGTTTTATGATGTTGGTTAGCAGGATGATGTGACCAAATAGATGGATATTTGAAATAACGCCAAACATAGTAATTGAGAAAGTCATTGCATAACGATACCTGGATTAAAGTGAATAGTCAATTTCACTACTAGAAATGTGAAATAAAAGGATGATTCTACGTAAGGATAAGGGATAATTGTTTCAAGAATAATGAGTGGTATACCTAACTAACATAAGCAAGAGTGAGTGAAGTTGCAGAGGTGCAATATACTTCAATGGACTAAGATCTTGTGGATAAAGCATGTCAAGGTCTTGCAGGCGAAGAGCATGTTGTGACTTATGACCTAAAGATATGATAAAAGTGTACGGAATCAGTGGTTCTACTTTTATATAATTATAATTGTTCAGATTTACATAAATATTAGTTATATGCAGGACTCCTACCAT